TGTTTTGGTACCAGTGACGTGTGGGAATGTATGCCACGCATTTCTTCAGCGCAGCAGCACGCCCAAACTCCGCAACTCAGCACACCTAAAACACCAAATAATAATAATAATAAAAAAAGATTGTGCATTGCAAGGCGAAGCAACATATATATATATCCCACCACAACCATCTTCTCCCTTTCGCGCACAGTTCTTGCAAAAAAAAAACGTAAAAAAAGAAAAAAGAAAAATAAGCCCATGTGTAACGAATGCGGCAACGAAAGCAGTCGCCCTTGTCCGTCAGCGGAACAGGCACAGATCCACTCACGCCCCCATTAGAGTAGAGTTAGTTCCCCTTGTCCTGCCCGCATCAGCAGAGGCGTGCGTACATGCAATACTGGAGTCAGTCCCTTCGTTCAAAGTGATTTTTTTTCGCACATTTTTCACAAAAAATTAAATCCCCTCAACACACAAATATCGGTCTTGCCACGAACAGTGGGCAAAGCAAAGCAATACTTCTTAGAGTTCGTCCTTGAAAAAACAAAGGGGGGTAATGGGGGGTGAGAGTGTGTAGTATATTAGTGATGTTTTACGCATCGTGCGCAGGGCTCCGTAGGGACGCGTTGCACGTTTTTTTTGGGCCCAGACGTGCTGTGCCCGTCCCAAATCACGGCAGCTTCTCAGAGCGGCAGCGCTGCCACGGCGGCTGTGGCCACAAGAAGAAGCGCAAAGGAGCTGAAGCCAGCAGCGGCTGCCGCACCGCCGTCCCTGCCCGTGATGTAGGCGTGGACATTTCGCGCCCACGGAAGCAAGCCGCTGTTGGAAAAAGTGTGCGGGGAGGCCACCTTCGCACGCTGGAGCTCCAACTCATCCCAGTCGAAGATAAGCCCGCTGCCATCCGCGGCGACGGTGCACACCTCAGCGTACCGGGGGCACTTGATCTTGCCGCCGTCCTTGAAGTGCTCCGACGCCGTCACTTGGATTTCGCCGCCCTCGGGGCACAGCTCAAAACCACTCCCGCCAAGGTACTTCACCTTCACCTTGCCCCCCGCGCACTGCACCTGCGCACACACACCGCCGACGCTCGCATAGTCACTGCTGTCGCCGGCCTTCGCCTGCAGGGATTCCGCATCCAGGCACCACGAGCCCTCGCCAGTCAGCGACCCCGGGAGAGACGCAACGCTCCCATCCGAGCACCTGCTGAGAACTGAACCCCCATTCTTGGATTTAGTAAAAAACGACGAGACGACGGGGCACTTGTCCCTTGTGCTCAGATGGCCATCCACAAGATTCCCGGTGCACCTCCCGACGTAGTGGCGTTCAGTTGAGCAGCGAAGCGTCGCGTTGTCGGAGGCATCGCATAACATGTGAGGGTAGGCAGTGGCAGGGTTGTTGATCTCCGTGCACTTCTTCGTCAGAAACTCGCAGCCAGAGTTGTTGCCCCACGACATCGGCTCCGCCATCCCCCACACAGCCTTGTAGTAGCCGAGGTCCTCAAACGCCGCCATCGTCAGTGCCGTGTAGCGGCCAACGCTGAAGCCGGAAACCATCAGCTCGTCCAGCGCATTGCGTCGCTCCCAGTGGGATCCCGCGCTCTTCAAGGGGTAGTCCTCCAGCTCCATGCCCTCAAGCAAATCGCAGTTGAAGTGCGCTGCCGCCTTCTCCTTAACGTTGCGTCCAGTCACCATCGTCACCGAGGGCCTCCCACGCACGCCATACTTGGAGGACACAAGGCCCCTCCCTCGCAGGTTTTGACAATCAAATCCAAGAGCATGCGCAATCTCATGTGCAACAACACGATCAACAGACTCTCCGTTTATGTACTGGGGATCAACGTTCACAACACCGACAACCGGCCGACCATCGTGCAGTAGAGCACACGAGGAAGCCCATGCAATGGCTCCACTCGCTGGCCCCGCAAAAACGTACAGAACCATATCGGCGTCTGACACGCCCTCCGTCATGTGCTCCTCAGGCACATGTCTCCGTTTCAGCAACCCACACAACTCACGTGGCACAATTAATTTGCCATTTATGGGTTTGACAAGGAGTCGGTCGGTATGCAGCTTGATGGCTCTGGGAAGAACAGAATCTTCAAGGGTCTTTCTCTTCGCATCCGTCAACACGTGCGTCTCTTCACATTTCATCCTTCCACCGTAGCCCCGAACCACATTCCCCGCTTCCTTGCAGACCATGCTAGTGTCGTTCGCACCAACAACGAAAGCCCTGATGCGGATGGGCTTCCAGTCACCTTCATCTTCCTTTGTGGTGGCGGTGTACGCCTGCATCGTGCCCTGTCCCTTGCGCGGCAGCTCACGCACCACCGCAGTCGGCAGCGGACCTCTTTTCCGCATCACCTCGTCGAAGTTGCAGCGGTGCCTCAGGGCGGAAGCGGCGGCGAGGCACCCACCGGTGCAGTGCATCGCCAACAGCAGCAGGAGCAGCACCAGGGGGATAAACGGCGCGAGGCAGCGCGGCCGACGCATGGCTTGAGAAAAGCGTGTGTGTGTGTGTTGGTTTGTTGACAATAGCTGTATTAGTAGTAGAAGCAAGTGCCTTGTACGCAAGATGAGAAAATAAAAGCACAAGGAAATGTTTTGGTACCAGTGACGTGTGGGAATGTATGCCACGTATTTCTTCAGCGCAGCAGCACGCCCAAACTCCGCAACTCAGCACACCTAAAACACCAAATAATAATAATAAAAAAAAAGATTGTGCATTGCAAGGCGAAGCAACATATATATATATATATATATATATATATATCCACCACAACCATCTTCTCCCTTTCGCGCACAGTTCT